ACCATATCCGCTTGTTTGCCTCCCATCGACTAGGCCAATTCCGCACTGATAACTGCTGATAAGCATGAAACGACGTTGGATATGAGGTCGAAACGTATACGTGCTACAAAAATATAAGGCGTTCTTCCGCGAATACCTACGCAAAATTTTGCATTTTCGACCACTGTTTTGTCCGAAGGCCTCCGTGGAAATTGAAGTACGGGGAAATCCAAAGCGCGAGAAGCATGAAATACAGCTGCGTTCGTTGCCTTGTCACTCGGGCTGCTAGGCAACCTAGTGCTTTTTAGCATTCAGTGGTATTTGGATTTCTCTGTATACAAAAATCCCCATATACTGTCCGGCAGGGTATTACGTATCTTGGAAGGTGACATTATGTCGTTTTTGCGACATTATATTGGTTCTTTTGTGACATTATGTAGGTTTTTCTCCAAGACGTCAACTTAGCATTAGCTGTTAACGTGTTGCCTAAACGTCATTATGCTTCAGCTATCAATGCTTGGCTCTGATGTGATGTAACATCTGATTCAGAGATGGTAGTATTGGAGGTCTAAGCTGAAAACTTACTATAGCTGGAGTATGTTAAAACTAACAGATAAAAAAATGTGGTACATACAGGAATATTTGATGAGCAAAAATGGAATAACCGATAAATCCACTTTTAACTATTTTTGAGTTAGTCATGGAATTCGGTTAATTTCGATATGCTCTATCTGTTTTTAAAGGTAGATATGAGCAAAAGCCGATAAGTGCTCACAAAAAATGGAATTTCAAGAAGTTTTAGGTAAGCGGATATCGCAAATACTCTCGTACTTCATTTCTCACTTTAAAATGAAAGAGTAGGATGTAACTTGCCCGAAAATATCATTTTTTATTTATAGAACTTCGATGTTGCATTCTTGGTGGTAATACTCCAGAATAGAATATAACATACACTGTATAGTACCAAGGAAAACAGATGTGAAACTAAAAAACCGTTGGTTGAAAACCAGACGTGTTATTACACATTAGCTTATTAGCTTAAATAACAGATCAAAATGCATGCGTAAATGATGGTATTTACCTGGTAAACTGTGTAGAGGTGTTGTTTTGTAATTTTTTCAATGTCTTCTTGAAGTTTCTTAACCATTTTTTACGAGTATTTTCAATGAGATCAAAGTATTAGCGTTTAAATAAAATATTTGAAAGTACAAACAATTCTCAATGGCCATTTTATAACGCTCATTTCTTGGCTGATAAAATAAATGATGTCCATTGTTGCCAATTTGTGCCTTTTTTAAGAGAAATACGTATTAGAAATGAGTTTATTTGCAAGACAACAGTCTTGTCTTGTCTTGTAAGTGGCTTGTTTTATGAAAAGTTGTCCCAGTATTTATCGAAAACTAGATGAAATTTTGAACAGTATGTGTATAAACAGTGGAAAATGCACCAGCGGCTCGCGTGATATAAAAAATACAAAAGGCACCAGCGGTCATGGCCTATAAAAATATCGATTCGTCGATTTGGACCACCTCGCCAGGTCCACCCAACATATCATCGCCCAACATTGTAGTTAAATAAAGATCAACGATCATTTCATCAAATCATCAAAAAACTTGTAATGTTCTTTCTTATGTTTTCATTATTTAGTGATTTGCAGCAGCCACTTTTTCAGCTATTTCTCATATATATCACCTTTAGTTAGGTATCTTTTGTAATATCAGCTTCACTTTAAATAATTCTTCATGTTCACACATACAAAAAGTGAATAGATTATAACTATAATATAGGAAAAACAATAACCAAAGTACTTTTGTGCTAACGCTATCGTAGGGCGCAAGGTGGATTTAGTACAGCAAAACCTGCCGACCACACCTCCAAATCGCATTTCCATGACAATCCTGTGCCGAATGCACATTTTTGCGCTAGAATATAAGTAAGAATTTGACAATCAAATTAAGGTATATATTACTATCAATGATTTGGCAACACCGCAACTAGATGGAGAGAATATGACATTGCCGGTGGTGTAGTGATGGGAATAGTTATCTGAAATGAAAGAAATGACTACTTAACAATGAACTATTTTCATCATTAAAATAATGCAAAATTGCATTATTGCGATGAACAGTGTCACAGTAACTTACAGTGTAGGTTATATTCATACGATTTTCGACAACCTTTTGTATAAACAAGAAGAAAACAGCTAACAAAGCAGCAAAAAAAAAACGGGGAAAGTAGTAATGCACAAATTTAAATATAACCTCTCTTCAAATAGGATATCACAAACAATCTATCTGGCACAGCTAATAGGTATATTTCATGGGCAGCATATTTAGCAATATTTTTTCACATAGAAAATATCACTGACCTTTACACATACAGACCGATACACATAATCATCGAGATATGGCCTTGCTACTCTGCTACTCAACCACACATCTCTTTCCTGGCATTCTGCAACTAACAAAGCATGACGGCAACCAGTCGTGTCGTTGAGTCATTTCTCCATAGACTCACTATTTTGATGGCGCTAACAGTGCTCATAGGGAGTGAATGCAGAATGTACCATTTGCATTTTGGAACTATACAGTGAGTAGATCTGATCAAAAGAAATGTTTTTTTCCTTTAACATTTTTGTGGTAAAATTAAAGTAACAAAGTTATAGCCCTTTAGAAGTTTGAGTACCACCCTGTCTCAATAATATTATGTGCTCGTGTTTGGCAACAACGGATATAATCCGCCTTATCGGTTCATCCCATCGGAAACAAAAAAGCGAAAGAATTTGAAACGCTGATCCCGATGTTTTTATTCAGTCGATGTGTCAGTCGGTAACGCGTGAGTGAATAGTGGTGTTTGCTGCGTGGCTCAAACGAAATAAAAAATGGCACATGTCTATGCGGATCGGTTTCCCAATCGAGTGCAACCAACCACTCGTGCCTTTGTTAATGTAGTACAACGGGCTCGTGAATCAGGTGACTTAAGACCTCACAGGAGAGGGCATGCCGGTGCTCCAAGACCTCACGATCAAATACAGGTCCGCACTGAAATACTTGTTGGGAGGATACTTTATAAAACAAGGTAAATTTTTTTTTAATTTTTTTTCATTTTTACACACATATTTTGGTTTATCTTCCTTCTACAATCATTATCTGAAAATTAATGACTCAACTTCAAAGTCACCCTGTATAGGCAGCACGTTGACGCTTAGTCGCTTTCTTCTTGAGGTTTTAAGGGTTTTTACATAAATAGCCTTGGGGCAACATAATTTTCCGGAGTTACGTCGCTGCTAATATATCACCGAGTTGCGGATAAGTGATAAAACCCTGTCTATGTCTGTTGCAGAAACGGATTATTTTATAGCAGCTATTAAAGTGAAACATCAGCCGCGGTTCTATTTTGTTGAGCGCCCCCGACGTGTGAAACTCGAAATGCGAGTGGCGTAATTCAACGATTCTGCTCGTATCGATAATGTTTTCGCCAGCGTTATAAATATAATACGGGCGGAATCCGGCGTCCAGTTATGTTCGGTGATTCTGATAATGGCTGATTTGTTCATTTATGCTCCTGTGATATAATTTGCATGAATTCAAGGGTATTTGGTTATTCGTAGAACGCTTAGGCCCGATTTTACTAACAGATCAAAATTATAAATCCGGATCAAAATGGACCAATGAAAACGCATTTTTCTAGTAGCGGATCTAATGAATATAATCGATTATCTCATAAGTAATATCATCAGAGCATCTAATTTTTCCGAAAAATTCGAATAAACACACACGCTGCAGGTGAAAAAACCCTCGTCTTTGGCTCGGACTTTTGTTGCCACCAGCACTCATGCTCGTACTTTGAGTTGAGTTTTTTCGATTTTTTTTTTCACAGGAAAAGATTAGATGCCCGTTTTGTATTTGATAAGACTACTTTATGAGTAACAGATTATTCTACATACACATAGCTTAAAAAACACACTACCTATTATACATTTTCACTACATAAGCTGACTAGCACTCTTTAAAAACAACATTACAAAACTTAGTGACAATAAAATCAAAAAAAAAAAAATATGTTTAGCGTCATTTGAAGCCACTTGTTCACTGTTTTCTGTCTTTTCTCCTCAATCGAGTGATACTGGATTGCACTGCATGGTGGCAAATTCTATCTCGACAACCTACAAGCCGTTACTAGATTCCAACAATAAATTCCACCCTTCGAACCCAACTCTACCAATGGCTACTTCATACTTCATCCCGAAGCATCTTTCACTTAATATCAGCGAACTATCCCACGGAGTATGGCGGAGGGTCCACCACACATCTCCAGCAATTAATCTAGTTGTTATCGATTTCAGATTACTACCCTTCAAGTGTTCACTTACCAAACTCTCCCACAGTTCATCCCTAAGGGTTAGCCGGCTCTTGATATCGCCACGCTCGAGGTCTCAAGAAGTCCAGGGGTGTTACAAGATGTTTACAGTTTTGGGATTGCATAGATCATTTTCGCAGTGGGGTTCTATTGCTCGGCCTGCCCCTTGCTGGTATGCTCTAAATGGGTATTGTTAATGTTTCAGACGATACAGTCGAAAGTATTGAATTATTGTTAGACAAGATGGGAGTTTAGATTAGACTGGAGGTTACAATTCAACTGTCTGGACGAGAAAAACATACCAATTATATTTTGTCTAACTTATATTAGGTGTATTGCTAGGTCGACACAGAAATGTCCTCATCTACGAGCCCCTTCCCACTTCAGTTGGCCCACTTAAAGATTTGTACCAAAATATGCATTTATAAACTAAACATGACGAAACTGTTTGCTTCTAAAATAATTTATTTTCTCAAAAACATTTTAGATACACTCTAGTCAAAAACATATTTGAAATCACTTAGACCTATAACTAATAGAACACCTGAACAAATAAACAATGTGCGGATAAACGCGTGAAGTTAACAAAGCAACAATTGAAAGATTACCATTGGTTAACATCACCTCCATTTTTAATTACGGCTGAAATTCTTTGGGCCTAGTGTTAACCAAGTTTTGGCAAAAATTTGGTGTAAAACAATCCCATATTTCTTGAAGCTTTTGTCTCAGTTCGGTGATTGTACGAGCAGGATGTTGTCGTACAACCTTTTTCATCTCGTGCCACAAAGTTTCAATTGGTGACAGATCTGGACTACTAGAAACCCATTTCAAAAGTGGTACATTATTTTCTTCCATCCATTTTATAGCCTTTTTTGAGGTATGGCACGCTGCACCATCTTGCTGAAACACAAAATCTTGGCCGGATGTCAAACATTCTTCCATCACTGGTAAAAGCGATTCTTCTAAAATTGCCAAATATTTGTTTGTATCTACATTTCCATCAATAAAATGAAGTTTTCCTACTCCTTTTGATGACATACTGCCCCAGACCATAATTGATGCTGGAAATTCCACTTCTTTCTTCAGACAGTCAACATGGAATGCTTCATTTTTTTGCGAATAACTCTACTGTGACTATCACCAACACAAACTTCGAAGCGGGCCTCATCACTCCATTGTATTGCACATCATTGTTGAGGTGTCCATTGTCTATGTTCTAAGCCGATTTTGCAGTGGAGTTAATAGTGGCTTCTCTTTGGCCTATAAACAAGTTGTGCAACTTTAGGGTTTTTACTTCACTTTTTTGTATAAGAAAACTTACCTTGCAAGTGCTAAATCCCTGTTTGTAGGCCTCTCTATGAGTTGTGGACCTCGAAATTATCCTCCCAACAGCATCACTCCACAGAGCACTTAACTGTAAATAATTGGCATGCCTGTTTTTCACGATTATTCTTCTTAATGCTCTTCGGTCAGCATTTGTGATATTACTTTTTTTCACATATCGTGGCTTAATATTATCTGGACCAGTTACGTTATGTCTTCTAACAATATTTCTCACACTTTACCGCGATAAGTCTAACAAAGTTGCAATTACTGAGGTTGATTTCCCAGAATTAAAAAGTTTAATGATGAGTAACCGAATTTTTTCACTAATAACCTTTCCTCTACCCATTTTGAAAACCTTAACTACCCAAAACTATTTTTAACGTATTCTGACAGCTGTGATTAATAAGAACAATTGTCATGGCTTTTATTTTTACAGCCACCTATGCGTTATAGACTTATTTTGCATTGAAATGAAAATAGGTTGATATGCTGTAATTGCAACATGTGTTATTTTTATGCTGCAAATTTGATTAGGGATTGATAAAGTTGGTGTTTTCTACTATATATTATCAAAATATTCATTGTTAATATTTTAAACCTATAACATCCTGCTACATTTTTATCATTTGTGTTTGTTAAGAAAAAAACTAAAATTTCAATAGTTGGGCCAACTGAAGTGGGGCGGACCTCGTAGAGGATCGTTTATGGTCTAGCTGCCTATTATCAGATTTACTGCGAAATAAGGCAAAAATAACTGCCAAGTTATTTTTGGTTTGTCTTTTGAGTTCTGGAGATAAGTGCTGCAATAACGTTTTTGTGCCTCGCGGATTACTTTGTTATAAATCTTATCCCGGAATAGTAGTTAATAATCGGATCATATTCTTTGAATTGATTACTCAGGGTGATTGCATTGCAAACACAGCCAAATTCCACAACTGAGGTATTTGTTGAGGAAATCAGTGTTCTGTTTATCAAATTTCCTAATAATTCCATTCAGATCATTTCTTATCACCTCACCTCCAACGACCTTTTGAGATGTGCAGCCACTAATCGTGAAAAGTAAAGTAATTTGAATGTAATTTTACAAGTATATTGCTGAGGAAAAAAGAATTTCTTACGATTTGCCTCTTGTCTTTTCCCTAATACACTAATGTTGAAATCGTGCATAGCTTCATCAATATCCTTACAAGACTGTGTAGAATTTTATCAACTGAAGGACAAGGGGGACGGTAAACAGAACCTATTATCACTTCCTTATTGTTTACTTTACAATCAACAGCGCAACATTGAGAACACTGCTCATGACTAAGTTCAGCTACTTCGTTGTGGGTAGTGAGTTATAAGTTATACTTGATGTATGCTGAAATCTGCTGATGGACCTCGCATCAACCTGTACCGAAGGTTACATATCCCCGGGATACGTGCTACATCAGAATGACGCACTTCTGATCAGACTAGCAGTTAACGTGTTAAAAGATGTTGGTTCATACTGCAAAATGTATTGTTTGCTGTTTTGTATGAATTTTTACATAGAATTCTAGATCGAATTCTGGAGCAAGCGGAAATGGCAATATCGTACCTCTCCTATAGTCTAATGTTGGTTGGTCAATATTTTCTCTTGTATCTCCAAGATTACAGTGCTATTGCATCAATCTCCAAGGCGTCTATAGAGGGTGTCCCGGAAAAAGTGTGCAATATTCTACCAGCGGTTTCTAGAGCTTAAAATAGAAAAAAAGGTTTATATAAACATAGGTCTTTTAAAGGGGCTCCCCTGAAGATGGTTTTTCCTTAATATTTCCGAAATGTGTTGAGACAAAGATATAAAATTTGGCATTCTAGCCTAGTTTTTTATGCTGGATTTAAAAACAATAACAATTTTAGACAGTTTTGTTTGGAAGCGTATGTTACAGGGACGGCCTCAGGTTATTTTAGCACCAACATTTTTTTGTGATTCTAATTTTGAAATTCAATTTTAGAATTTAAAAATCTAGAGGTTTCTACATAAAAAGGTACTCTTATTGAATATCCATAAATTGTGCCATTTTTGAATAAAATCAAACTAAAGAATTTGTAGGAAATCTACTGCGAATTTAAACGAATTCTTGAATAATTTTCCATGGCAATGAAAAAACTAATTTCATAATTGGTAAATATTACATAAATACATATTTATATTGCAGCATAGCTAACATTTAGGCAAAAACAGAAGAAATAAATTTTTTCTACGAACGAAATTGAAACTTGTTTAAAAAAGAAGACATACAGTTGGATATACTTAAAACTAGATTTACAATAAGTGTTCGAATAAATTCCCATTTTGTTGGATACAGAGTCACGCTCGACGAATTAATGGTTTCGTAGCCCGAAAAGTCTAAAACCTTTTTCTGCTTATTTCATTTGCAGCCTGATGGATTCTTTGAAGTAAATCTTCTTGAGTATTTACTTCAGTCGAGTAAAGTAGGTCTTTTAATGACCCCCAACAATAAAAATCCAATGGATTTAGGTCACGTGAACGCGACGGCCACGCTATAGGATCTCCTCGGCCTAACCGCCTGTCTGGAAAATTGACATTCAACCAATTTCGAACATTGCGTCCAAAATGTGCAGGGGCGCCGCCATGTTGGAAAAACCCATTTTCTTGAAACTGCTGGCCCACATCCAATGGTATTATATCCAAGAGCTTATTCTGAAGAAAGTTCAGATACACCTCTGAATTAAGACGATTAGGAAGTACAATAGGCCCAATTATTTGATCCCCAATTACTCCTGCCCATAACTTCAATCAAAATCTATGTTGGAAATTTGTACGGCGAACAACTTTTGGATTTTCATCTGACCAGTGATGTATGTTATGGAAATTAAAAGCACGATTCCTAGTAAATATTGACTCATCCGACTGTAATATTCTAGGAATAGTGTTTTAATTTGCTAATATTTACTGGCAAAACTCGATTCGTGGTAAAAAATCTGCCTCCGTGAAATGCTGCACCCTTTTAAAATGATAAGGATGTAATCCTTGCATTCTTGCCATTCTTCCTATCTAAAATTATTATTTTTAGGATAACTATCAAGTAGGTATTCATAAATTTTTCTTACTATTGATCGAGGTAAGTATCCATAATTTCTGAAACATTTCGTATGCTTATTTGCGGATTATTTTCAAACATATTTAATACAATATCCATACGATGATTTCCCAGTGGCTTTCCTGAGACCTGCATGCGCTGAAAACATCCATCGTTTGACAAATTCCGGTGAATATCAGTAAACATTCGACGTGCAGGTACTATGCGATTGGGAAATCTTCTTTGATATTCTCTTACGGCTGCCAATGAACTGCCATTGCAACACTCGTACACAAAATGCATGTCAGTCTGTTCTTTGTCTGCAAATCTTGGCATTCCAAATCGATTTAATAAAAATTTTGATTTTAATCTAGTAATTTTACACTGCTAACAATGTCAGCTTAACGTCAAAATACGTCATAACAAATCAAAACAACTTTTGTTTGCAGTCATGGCTGTCTATGTATAATCAACAATTCATTTAAATTCGCAGTACATTTCCTATCATGTGACAATTTTTTTAGTTTGATTTTATTCAAAAATGGCACAACTCATCGATATTCAATAAGAGTACCCTTTTATGTAGAAAACCCTATATTTTCAAATTCTAAAATTGAATTTCAAAAATAGAATCACACAAAAATTTTGGACCTAAAATAACCTGGCCGTCCCTGTTACATCCGATTCCAAACAAAACTGTCTAAAATTGTTAATATTTTTAAATCCAGCATAAAAAACTAGGCTAGTATACCAAATTTTATGTCTTTATCTCAACATGTTTTGGTAATATTAAGGAAAAACCATCTTCAGGGGAGCCTCTTTAAAAGACCGTTGCGCCCTTAGGGGACGTTTGTCGACCTATAAACTTTTCTTCCTATTTTAACCTCTAGAAACCGCTGGTAGAATATTGCACACTTTTTTCGGGACACCCTGTATATCTACTGTATTTAAATCAAGAGATCCTATTTATGTGATAGACCAAAACTATCATTTTGCATAACCCTGCATAGCTATGTCACAGGGTTCTTTTTACCCACGCCCATGGAGGCTTCTGCATCTGACCGAAATTTATGCCTGCTCCAGACATTCGAATTATTAGGAGGGAACTCACGGACTGTTCGAGGGGGTGTTAACCGGGAGTACTTCGTTATGAAGTTAAAGTATAGAAAATTTGGGTAATCTCCTCTCTAATTCTCTGAAATTTAAATGATTTATTAAATCCAACCGCTCGGGAGTGCCCCATTGTTAGGATTATTACAGTGGCGCTACAAAGATACTTTTTCTTAAATATCATAAAATATAAGTGAACGAGATCACAACGGTCTGTTTCAAGTTTTCAATATTACAGCTAGGAAGCAGACAATTATGTAGGTCCCATGGAAAAATGCGTGCATAAAGGGGCTATAGAAGATATAACAAGTCACACATACAGGGTGGTGTTCTCTTCAGTTTGACTTGTCATTTTGTTAAACAAAAACACGTTTTGTAGTTATAAGCTTGTATCGGATACCAATTTATGGACGCTCTTT